CGTTCCTGCCATTGCTGGAAACACTGCTGGAACGCATCTTTTGGAATGGTTATCAGCCGGTCCGTCGCATTTCGCATGATGTCTTCTCTCGACTAAATTTGGGTTCCTTTTAGCGGCATTTTCAGCTTGAGAAATAGCCAAAGGTCACACGGAGCCATGTGGAGAGAGTACGGAGCGTGACGAACCACAGGAGTATTGTGTTTGGCGACGAAAGCCCGAATCGGATGCGCAGAATGGGCGGATGCGTTATCACGATGGAGCTGCCAAGTTTTGATCGACCACAGATCCCATCGTTTGCATCGCACTGTATCGGAAAGACGACGAAGGACCTCCTGGTAGTACTCCTTTGGGATGGTTTGGCCTTGTGGTGCGTACTCACGACACACCACCCCACGAAAGTCGAAAAAACTGTCAACATGACCTTTGATATTGCTGCGGACCTGCCGCGCTTTTTTTGGCCTCGAGGATCGTCCCCGAAAGCCTGCTGAATCTTGCGAATGGTTTACACTCGGGTATCGCCAAGGTTTTTGGCAAAATTTGATGTAATATCGCTGCTCACGTTGTTCAGTCATTTTCCAGCTTAGTGAAATCCGACGAGAGCGCACTACATGACCTCACTCATACGCCGATTGCCAACGACTGACGCTTTCTGCAGGCGGGAAAAAATTCAGGGCTGTGCATGACTGTCCCCTCCACAACTCCACCGAAGGAGGCCTCTCTCGCATCATTGGTTTACGCGGAAAAAAATAAGGTCCGATACTTTTTGAACAGACCTTGTACTTCAGTTCTAAGTCCTCAACTTTCATTCAAGTGTATGTCTAAATAAGCACAATGTTACACTTCTTCTTTTATGTTTCTAACTTAATATTAATTCGATAGGATACGACTATGAGCGTTGGTCTTCTGGAGCTTGTATGGATTTCGTCTTCCTCATGCTGGGATTTGTTGACGAGCTCTTAAGGGCGTTGGCCTTAGAGAGCAAATGTGTGGAGTGTTTTCACTCTCAGATCTCGGGACGAACTCCCCAAATTCTCTTAAACTTCCACTATATCTTTTGATTTACAACCAATCATCATACTAGGATTATTCCACGTGAACGGATGGAAAGGGGAATAAATGAGGGGTAGACAGTTTCCATCGTAGCGAGATTTTTAACATATATGGGAAAAACAGAGGATGCTCATACTTCCGTCAAAGAAAGTGGCTCTGTTGTCCCACGCTAAAAAACCGTTATTTTCTCACCAAAACGAAAGAACATTTTTCTACAAAAATTTTACTTTATTTTTAAATTATTATTTAGACCCAGGGGCTATTCGGATCTCACAATAACATGCCCTCATTTAAAATCGGAGGTCCTAATAAAACCGTCGAAGTAGATGAAACAGTAATATGCAAACTCAAATACGAAATAGGGCGAATACTGTAATCTACAAAATGGGTCGTAGGAGACAATAGTTGCTTCATTTGTCAAGTGAACGACAGATCTGAAACCACGCTAAATTGAGTTGTGTCTAAATTTGTAAATTCTGGTAGTGTTAACTATAACCGATGAATGGAAGGGATATAATCACATAGACGACATTAAAGGAATAGATATTGAACATAGAACAGTTAATCATTCAATAAACTTCGTAAACCCCAAAACGGGCGATCATACTCAAAACATTGAAAAATTATGGGGTTATTTAGAAAATAAAAAACAATTTACTAAAGCATTACACGGATGATCTCTCGGACTCGTACACGTATTCCTTTATGTAGGGGAGATCGGGGCAAGATCGGCATGTAAGCTTTACTTAAATTTTGTGTAATAAATACTGCTGTAAACTGAAAAAAAAACCTTGCATATTGTCTGTTGGAATGTTACCTTACTATAGAACTGGTTAAAATCAGTTTGGACATAAAAATAATTAAAATAATTACAACTTTACAAGAAGAGAAGAATGGACGAAGTTGCCCCGGGTATAGGGGCAAGATCGGCAACTTCTCTCTTTTTGTAAAGTTGTAATTATTTTAATTATTTTTATTAAAGTTGCCCCTGGTATAGGGGCAATACTAATGGGGCAAGATAGGCACGTATATAAAATTATGTTATTAACGATGTATAAGTTGGAATTCACTATTAAAACAAAGAAATACAAATCCAACACCCATTTAATATTATTACAACGAAATGCAAGTTCAAAGACATATATACATGAATAACAAATGCAAACATGTTTTCATTTATCATCTGTTTGATTTTTATCCTTTGCTTCTAATGTGGCTTTATATGGAATTGAACGAAAATGAAAATTTGCTTGATAATTCAACTACGCTTGTTGGAGAACAATAAAAACACTACACTCAACAAGCCACCAATAAAACTCAACTGCCTAACCTATAATCGAAGTTTTTTTTAATTTGTTTTTTAAAAAAAGCGCTTGACAAACTTGCCCCGCATGCCGAAGTTGCCCCGATCTCCCCTATAAGAAGTTCATGAAATGGCCAGCTAGAAACCCCGGAGAAAGATTTCAAATATTCGTAAAACACTTGAGTATGACATATCCAGGTACCGAAAAAACACCTTAATGGATAGAACCAGAGTGTGTTCCCACCGCACCAGTTTTTAATATAAAAAAGAAAAAAAACAGGCCAACACAACAAAGAAAATGACTAATAAGACAAAGAAAAGAACGTCCACAGGTGCTGAGGAATCGACTTCGTCAGGGAAGAAACGTATAAAAAGGAAAAAACAAAATCACTAACATTTAGTAATAATTTCAATACAGTAATACCCCGACTTACGCGAACCCGGAGTTACGCAATTTTCAAATTTCCTCGATTCGTCTTTCGTTTGAGCGCCACGCACTCTTGATTACTGACTCCACCCATACTATTGTTCAGCTTACATGTTCGGACGTATCGTGCGGAATCGACGCATAGCTACTATTTATTTTGTGTTTCTTATTTCTACGGAGACTTGAGAGAATCTATGTGGTGATTTCTTGTTACCGTGAACGAATCAAAAGACGAGATGAGATTAATGAGAACATTTACTAGCTTACATACATTCGACTTGGATTTTATACAAATTGCGAAATTATACCCCGACTTACGCGGTTATCGCTCGGTTCCACCTATCGCGTAAGTTCGTGGTATTACTGTAATCTACTAGTATAGGTTACGTTAGTTTAGGACACGTGACCGCTCCGTTCGAACCATCGGTTATCGCGCAGTCTCGAGAAGAGTTCGAAATGACGTCCGGAAATTCCGCCATTTTGGCACCATAGGTAAAAATAACCCGTTTTTGTTCAGGAATTTATTCCTGGAAAAGTTTTAGACCATGTGTAAGATAGAAAAAAACAATACAGTAAAACATCGATTATCCGACTCAATTGGTACTCGGATTGGTCGGATAACTGAAAAAATAACATAACCGAAAAAAATGAAAAAATGCATTATTAGTATAGTATATTAGTATGTCCCATGTAATTAGTATATCGCTATTAACCAACTTCGCGTTGAATTTTCATCGATGTTAAAAATTATTTTTAAATTATTTTATTGCTCACAAAACAACCACTCATAATTAGAAAATTAAGACTCCTTTAAATACTGGCCGCCCTTCAATGGTCGAGCCGTTGATGCCAACTAAAATTTAACAAAAATAATATTAAAGTAGCCAAGACATAGCCAAATATTTTAGCGCCACATCGCTAGCGGACATTTGAAATTTGCCGACTAGAACGGTCGGTTAACCGATGTGACGGTTACTCGGTGGTCGGATAAGCAATGCTCTACTGTAGAATTTCTCGGCTATGTCATCAAACACAGAACAAACTAATACTATTTTTTGTTTTTTTTTTAGGTTCAAGAACTCGGGAATGAAGAAAAATAGAATTTATCTTTTTGAATAAATGAAGATGAAGAAAAAAGAAGGAACTTCGGAATAAACTGAGCTAAACTTACAGCGAAAGAGTCTTTACAAGCAAGGTAAAAAGGCACCAACTCGAAATTCTTTTGTGAGTATTAAAGATTTTTTTACATCCATAATTCTAATCCTTAGCGTAACGGTTAGACACAGACATGAAAAGAAAGTTTACTTAAACATTTGAAATGTATAAATAAACGTTTTATTTCAATAATTGATATTTTATAGATTTAATATTCACTTAACAATAAGAATATCGGCCCGTAATTTCGTTAGATATTGACATTTCATTGAGACTTAATCGAATTTATTTATTTTTTAGTGTGATTAATCAATTTATATAGAATTAGATGTAATGTTATTCAACGTAATTGAAATTGTTATTAACGGAGACCGTTGTAATTTATATTTTAGAGCTTATCACACAGCAATCAAGTATACAGTTATTTACAATTGTAAGAAATTTTCTAATTAGCAAAGTGTAATAAATTGCTTTGAAATACTCGATTGCTGTGTTTGGTAAGACTTAAAATATAAATTAAAAATACGTCGAATAATAATGTAAGGGGAAGAAACGGAGTTATTATTTATAGATCTGGTCATACTGTTTATTTAAAATTATCGAAACCGTTCAAATTAAATCAATTTATTTGAATAAAAATAAGTTTAAATTAGATAAAGGTTGAAGCTAACGGTTCTTTGCATCGTTACTTCCTATTGGATAATACAACCTCACGTGGTCACGAAGAAAACAGTTTTAAACACGTTTGTAATAAAGTGACACGATGCGGCTATTTTTTTTTTAAGTTTAAATTTTAAAATTAATAAAGTAACTTAAGTAATACGCCATTTGCAAACATATTTAATTTATAACTTTTATTTCTAGACGTTACCATTTGGCTTAGATTATTTAGGCCTATACTCTAGTTTTATATACAATGTATAAGGCAGGGGTGGCCAAAACGTGGCGCATTGGACGATTACAAGTGGCGCTTCAGTTAGTTCTGAGCAAAATTGCCAGATTTGGCTTTTATGCGATTAAGAATATTTTATAAAAAAATAAATTTTTTACGGTCTGTCATGGCAAGTTCATTTGTTGCACAATTCGTTACAGTCTATTTTGCAGATAAAATGAGTGTTCTCCACATAGTAAATTACAGTGAATGCACGTATTTTGAGTCTTGCGATCTTTATTTCCGATCAGTTTACAGGCGTGTAAATGGCCGAAAACATTTATTGTGATTAAAGTTATTCCAAGCTGATCTCGTTCTCAGTGCCAATAATTGTGGTGCAGAGTAATCTTCACCAAACGAGACTCTGGCAGCAACAGCACCATCATAAAGCAATAGCCCTCTCGTACAGGAGATTATTGTTGACTATTGTAAATTGGTGCTTCAATAAACTGTCATAAATGAATTAATTCAACTGCGTGATAAAGTTATTCCCTTTTCTCTCCTAAGCGAAGCAGATTTATTCTTATCTCTATTTATCAACCCCTAACATTGAACGTAAGATTGTACAAAAAGTGTTCGAGTTATATGGCGCATTTGAACTCGTCTGTCAAAAAATTGGCACATGGTATGCAAAAGGTTGGCCACCCCTGGTATAAGGGTTATCTAAAAGTCATCTGTTATTAGTGACGCTCGCCTCTTCAATTTCAACCTCGTGTAGTTCTGATCTTGTTAATAGTTCGGGGTCTTCGTTAAATCTAGATTTCATGACGTCACAGAAAGGGTGTGTGTTAGGCTGTGAGATATATACGGAATATGTTAGAATAGTGTTTTATTTTTTTGATAATCATTCAAAGTGATACCTTTTTATAGTTTAGAAAACTTTTAGTAATACTTTTCAGCAACTTTTAGTCGTACTTTTAGTAATTACTTTTCTGGCTATTATATATGACAGGGGAAAATTTATGGCAATCGGTCAAGAAATAATTCTTCCAAGATTTTTAATTTTGGACTCCGGTTTTTAAATCTTCGAGAAATACAAATAATTTTTTCACCCTGTTTGAAGCTTAATAACTCTTGTGCCTATTGTCGAAAATGTCTGAAATTTTGCAGTGAGGTTTGTGCATTACAGGGATTAAAGCTGCTAAATTTTGACGGTTACAGGAAGTGAAGAGATAAACGGATATCGTGTCATATTTCGAGTAGGGTTACGCTTAATGATGATTTTACTCGTAATTAGCATTTCCAATATTTTATAATACGTAGCCTACTCTCAAAATTAAGTTATTTGCCATTTTATAATAAGTTAGTACATGTAAATGTTTCATTCTTGAAGCCGAATTATAATTACCATAAACTTCGATCAGTACCCGAGAGAGGTAATTTGCTCATCATTGTGGTTCTTTAAACATGACTGTCGGTAGCTTTAGGTCAACACTGGAACGGAGGAAGGGGCTTATTACAAGTCGGACAAAGTCGAACGAAAAGAAAGGGGTTGAACTTTAATGGAGGTTCGTTTTGTTTCATTAAATTTTATTCAGTTTATGCGTTTTTTATTCTTTTATATTATTATTCATACAGTGAGAAAAGTTTTGCGAAGATTTGAGTTTTGTTCGACGTTCAAAGAAGAGTACGGAAACTTGGACAAACTGGGTAGAAAAAAATCGATATTTCGGATAACCGATTGTGTACGAAAAAATTTATTAATTTATCCCATGTTGAAATTTTTCGCCGTTGCGTGTCGCTTTGCATTGAATTTTCGTCGATGTTAAGCCTAACGAAGACTATTGTATAGTTAAAAATTATTTTTTTTATTTTGTACAAACAAAATAAATATATTGAAAAATATAAAAACAATAAAAAATTATACTTCAGAAGTTAATTTAGTATCAAAAACGTAAGATATTTGAGTAGCCCAGGATATAGCCAAAGATTGCAGCGCCACAGCACTGGCGAAAATTTAAATTTGCCGACTGGAATTCTTTCAGATAATTGACGTTTTGGATAAACGACGCTCTACTGTATTAATACTGTCTATCCTAACTAAATAGAGTTTCGTTTACATCATACTAGAGTTCATGCACCTCTTGNCCTTTTTGCTTATACGTCCGGTGTCGATGGTCAGTGATGACGGTAGTTAATCCCTTGGTTGCTGTTTTTTTGAAAGCCACCCCTTATCTGGGCCGAGCCCTCTTTATACTAATTTCGAGGGGGTGAGAAGTATGACGTTATTAATGATTTATCCGAACACCTGCTAGTGTGTTGATATTTGGATCTAGCTAGTTCGGACAAATGACTCAGAGAAGTTTGTTTAATTTATTGATATTGGTGTCAAGATGATATGATTTTATGATATAAATTTCTATAGGTTTGATGGCTCTCATCCATAAATTAACAATCATTTGACAATAATTTCTTTATCCTGGTCAACTATTTAGATATTGTTTATATCAAACGTCGTGTTTGACTATGAACAAGGCGATTTATTGCCGTAACCACGTGTTACGTGCAACCAAGAGGTGATAAGAAATATCTCTTATTCCCTTCTTGTTGATACTAACGTCTATAGAATAACTGTTAAACAAATAGAGATGATTTC